GCCGGACAGGGCCCCGCCGGTGCCCCGGGGTGGGAATGTTGAGGGGGGGGCGGGCTGACCTGCCACCGGGTGGGTGGCCACGGAGCCCAGCGAGAGGGATGGGAGGGCTGGCAAAAAGCAGCCGGCAGGTGGTCTCCTCCATCGTGTCTCCTGCACATCCTTTTCCACGTTACCCAAAGGATTTATACCCTGCTGCAGGAGCTGGCTCGAAAAACTCACTGATCCCTTCATGTCACTCGCAGGCTCCTCCACCGCCGTCTGAAGGGCTGACCCCAGGACTCGGAAGACCAGGAGAAAAATGAGGTTGGCGATATATGAGCACACAAAGATTTTAGGCAAGGATCTTTCATACTCCTGGAAGCACTCGTCACATGGCTAAAAAGAAAAAAAAACAAGTGCACAAAGCTCAGGAGATCTAAAAATTGGTTTTTACAGCAGTGGACAAGAGGGAGGACAGGTTGTTCAGGCTAGTTAAGAGGGCAGTTTGAGAGAGGAAGAAGAGGAGGAAGCTACCTGCCAGCTCCCTCTCCCTCACCACTCTGTGTGGGGAAGACACGTCCTCACCCAAGTGCAGCCATTTTCACTAAAATCCTGCAGCAATAAGAGCTCCTTCCTACCCGAGGGTCTGGGCATGCCCTGTGTGTCCTCAGCTGCCCAGGGCTCAGGAGAAGCCAGCTTGGTCCGGGGGCTGTTGAAAGCAGCAGGGTGATTTCCAAGAGCAGAAAGATTTCCGCTGCATTCGGTGGGCTTTGGATGGGATCCTGCGCTCCTGGCACGGCTGAGCTGTGGAAAGCAGTCAAGGCCCAACGTGTTAGTGGCTTTAAACTGCTGTGGCCCAGCAGAGCAGTGTCCTGGAGTTTAAACTTCTGCAAAAATCTGCAGGTTTGTTACTGAAATCGTAGAAGAATTCAAAGGAAGACCCATAAAAGAGTGTGAATGACTCTGGCAGATCTCCGTGCAGCACTTACACAAGAATTGTCCAGAGTTGGACTGACAGTGGTAATGGCTCTGAGTTGCAAGAGAGGAGAATTAGATTTGGAGGCTCATCCCTGCAAGGGCAAGCAAGTGGGGTAGTGCTAAGAAAAGAGCTGGTAAGAGATGAGTGGGGTAACACCATTTTCTCTCTTTCAGGCATCGGGCAGGCAACAAGAACCATGTTTGCTTTGCGATCTTCTCCTGTAGCAAGTGGAGAGGCTGTTTGAGAGCCAGAATCCTGAAATGCCTCCAGCCCTTCACCCTGCCAGCTGCGCTCCTCCTGGGCACCGAGGGACACCCTGTGGCACATGGTGGCTGGCATAGCACCTGGGAAAGACCTGTCTTGTGCAGGGCATCTGCAGCACCATACAGGCATGACTGCATGCAGACATCCCACCTCCTGCTCCGGTCTCAGGGAAGCTCCTCATCTCTCCAGTGGGGTGGCACTTGGAGGACCTTACCGGCAGTCAGCAGCAAGAGTGAAACTGAGGACCTGCAACCAGGTCCCAGCAGACAAAACCCGAGTGAAGCCAAGACCCATGGCTCAAATTCACTTTCTTAACATGAGATCAGGTGAGATTTAATAGCTCTGTGTTTTCCTGTCTCTTTTAAAGCTCAGTCTGCTCTCCAACAAAAAGTAAGTTACCAAAGCAAAAGGACTGGCCCAGACCCACTCAAGTGAGACAAAAACTCAGTTTGGGACTGCCTTGTTGTGTGTCAATAGTGTAATGTAACACGGCTAAAACAAAACCTCAGAGCCTGAATTTCTCTCCTGACCTGTTGAGAACCAACAATTTCAGTGCCTCCCTCCAGGGCCAGGGCCCCGGCTGGCACAGCAGCTCTAGGCAGCAGCTCCCCCACGGCTCTTCCACCCGTGGCAATCCTCCACTCCTGAAAACCAAGAGGCAATTTGATTTGTGAGCTGCCAGATCTGGCCTGAGCCCCGAACAGTCACGTTTAAACCCAGACCACCAGCCGTCTTCATTTGCAAAGGGACCAAACCTGCTGCCTTGTCCTTTCCCTCCAACCAGTTCGATGAAAGGGCTTAGGTTTGCTTAACTTTTTAGTAGACCCTTTCTCCTACCTTCCAAAGCCCTTTGCCAAGATAATAATAACAATACACTGAAAGAATAAATTTAATAGTGTGGGGGAAGAGGGGCACTAATAAAGAGAAGTCTGTAACTTACTGCACGGAAGGGCTCGTTTGGTGGCTGGGCTGGCCAGCAGAGATGGCACTGGGGCAGGGCTGGTCCCTGCTGAGCATCTGGGCAGGGGCCCAAGAGGCTGCAACGCCCCACAACAGGGGCAACACCACAGGCAGGCCTGGGTGTTGGCAAGGGCTGGAGCCAGGAGCAAGGGACAAGCCCCCGCAGAGGTACCCACACAACAAAGGAGGAAAGTGTCTAAGGAGCAGCAGTGTGTTTATTGAATCCAAATCCCAAAGCTCCAGCGAGACACAGGCTTTCTTTATTAATTTAACACCACGGGCCTTTCAGAAATGCCTCGGAATTGTTACTGATAAGGATGTGTGGCAGGAGGGGGCTGTGGTCCTCTCGTGGTGATTGCACTTCTCTCCTGCCCCCAGCCCGGGGGGAGGTGGGGGTGTTTCTTCTTTCCCCATCACAGAGAGTGGATTTGGCCCCGCAGTTTCTAGGAAACAAGCCCTCTCCCCCTCCGAAACTCGTGTTTTATTTTTTTGCAATTTTAAATGCACGTCGAGGAAGCCAAGTTTCATGGCCATTATTGCACAGTTAATAACCCTTTGGAGACTGCAGACATGTGTTATATACATCTTCCCCAGCAGTCATTTGGCTTGCCGCCTGGAAAATGCCAGCATGCGAGGGGTTAACTTGGCTATTACTCAGCCTTCTCCCTCCTCTCCAGGCACCCTTCTCCAAACCCTTCCTGACCTGGTCCTAAGCAGACAGTCCCAACTTCACTGGTGATGCTCTCCTGCTCAGGACACTCCGATCCACCCTCCCTGCAGCTCCTGGCCTCCCTGCGCTCCCTGGGGAATATCTTCCCCAGCAGTCATTTGGCTTGCCGCCTGGAAAATGCCAGCATGCGAGGGGTTAACTTGGCTATTACTCAGCCTTCTCCCTCCTCTCCAGCCACCCTTCTCCAAACCCTTCCTGACCTGGTCCTAAGCAGACAGTCCCAACTTCACTGGTGATGCTCTCCTGCTCAGGACACTCTGATCCACCCTCCCTGCAGCTCCTCACCTCCCTGTACTCTCCAGGCAGCGGGGATTTCCCTCCCTGCCACAGGCTGTACCTGCCCTGATGCTGCAGAGTTTGGCCAGGATGGTTGGGCACGGACGTTGAGGGTGCTGCTGTCACCTGTGCAAATGCTCCCCCAAAGAAGCCAGAGACAGCTCAATGACAGCTGGAAACAAGAAACGCTCTTTCATCACTTAAAACAATCAGCCAAATAAATACAGGTAGTTCTATAGGTACCAGAAGTGGGTTTCCTACAGATCAGTTTTAAACAGTGAGCTCAAAGTTTGATTAAAGCTGCTTCCCTGGACAGAGGGTGTTTGAGGCTGTGCTTCTTCATGTTGGGCTCACTTCTTATGGTTGGACTTGACGATCTTAAGGGTCTTTTCCAACCTGGATGATTTTGTGATTCTGTGTGGAGCCTCCAGGACCTAGTGCCATTGAGGCAGTCCTCAGTGAGAGGCACTTATGAGGTTTTTCCTTCCAGCAGCCTGAATTCTCCTGAGCCTGCAAGAGAAGAACTCTCTCTGGGACATCTCTGTCAAGTCTGGCTGAAAATGGACGGCCTGTTCCTGAGCTCCTGGCAATAAGGAGCAGAAAGAAAAGCGAACTGTGATACTGGAGGTGTCCAGGGACAGAGCTGAGCCACCAGCACCTGCGTCCTCATGGGAGCACACAGCCTGCTTCAGTTAAGGTAAGTCCATAGCAGGAGACCTGTCCCTTTCTTTCTCCTAGCAGGGAGCTTTATTCATGGGCTGCCAAGGGTTCCCTTTTGTCAGAGGGAGTTTGCTTTGATTGAGATGCGTCTGCCTCACAAGCAGCAAGAGGGTTTTCCCTGGAGATCTTCTCTCCAGACACTTTCCCTCTGCCTGTCTCCAGGGGCCTCACAGCTTCACGCAGCTGCAATGGGAAAAAAAACATCCTATTTCCATGGAATATAGAGAAAAGAGAAGAAAAATATTCCTGTGGGATATGGGCTGTAGGAACGGATTCCCAAAATCCCAGGTTGCTTCACACCTGCCCCCATGAGAGCACAGATCTGGCTACGTCCCCACACTGGTGCCACCACCATTCCCAGGTTGCTTCACACCTGCCCCCATGGGAGCACAGATCTGGCTATGTCCCTGCACTGGTGCCACCACCACCTGCAGAACACCTCCTGGGGCACCTTGCTGATGCGGTGCAGATGTTTGGAGGGATCAGGATGCAACACTGTCAGGAGCTGACACTGCAGGCATGCCACTGTGGGTGAGAAAAGCCAGGAAGAGAAGAGAACGTGCTCCCAATTCTCCCCCCACAGCTGCAGGGTGCCAGGAGAATCCACTCCCTCCAGTGCAGGCAGCACTTCACGTAGAGAAGATCACAAACCTAAGTGTACCACCACCTCCATCCAGACCATGCTGGGATTTTTAAAGGCAGACGGGGCCAGTCCTGGATCTGTTTGGTATCTGAGAGCTGCGCATAGATAGCCATCACCCAGGCAATAATAATCAGCCACACGTCACTCCCCAGGCATGCAGGAACAAATGGACAAAGGAAAGAGCTGTCGCTGTTTGTGGCTGACCCTAAAGTTCAGCGAGGCTTTTTATGAAGTCCAGTGTTGCCACCTCTTATGATGTTATCGGGAACCTGGGAATAGCTGGCACTTTCTTTTGTTCTGTTTTATGGTTTGTTTGGGTTTTTCCTCTCCAGGCCTTGGCTCCTGCAGCCATGAGACTGATTTCTCATTTAACTCC